CCCGCCTGATTTTTTGACTTATTGTAGAGATGAGGTCTCGCTGCCCAGGCGGGTCTCGAACCCTCAGGCTCATGCAATCCACTCACCTCAGCCTCCCAAAGGCGCGGGATTACAGGTTGAGCCACCGAGCCTGGCTCGTCCTTCAAGTTCTAACCCAAAAATCACCAAACGAAGCCTTCTCCAATCCTCCCAGCCATAAGGACTGCCGTTTACGCCAGGACTCCTGAAACTCCCTTTATGTATCTCATTGACAGCACCATGAGAACACACTTTCAGCAGTGTATTGTGGGTATTTATGTACACGTGTGCTATTTCGCTAGACCACAATCTACTTGAAAGGGTGTGTCCTGAGTATCCCTCACAGGGTCCAGCACATGGTAGAGGACTCAGCAGCTGATCTGGAATAATAAATACTCCCCAGCTCCAAGTTGGTGATGATCCTTTAGGTATTTGGGAGAGCAGGCAAGGCTCTACAGATGGCCATCCTTGGAGAGGGAACAGAAATGGAAAACTGCTAACTTGCAGCAGGCCACCAGAAGACAAGAGTGCCCTGGGAAACATCTATTCTGACTTCCTCCTGTGAGAATTTAGGATTAATAAATTAGTGAACCTATATTTGCACACCTAGGAGTTGGTTTTTCTTCATTCTGAGCCTCAGAGTGGCTTTCATCCTGGGGTCCCTGCCCATCCTTAAAAACCAGGGCTCATTCATGTATGCATGTATTGAAACTCCTTACAAAGGCATTGAAACTCTTGCAGACCAGACTCGGTGGCTTAGCCTGTAATCCCATGCTTTGGGAGGCCGAGGTGAGTTGATTGCCTGAGCCTGCGGGTTCGAGACCAGCCTGGGCAACTTGGCCAGACAAGAGTGCCCCCTTAGATGGTGGCACTCTCTACAATAAATCAAAAACCTAGCCAGGCATGGTAGCGCGCGCCTGTAGTTCCAGCTACTTGGAAGGCTGAGACGGAAGGACTGCCGGAGCCCCAGCAGGTTGAGGCTGCGACGGCCGGGAGCGGCCACTGCACTTCAGTCTGGGTGACAGAGTGAGACTCCAACTCAAAAAATAAAATAAAATAAAAAAGAAACCCTTGCAAAGGCTCTGGTACTCAGGTGAGTGATGTTATCAAATAGCATGAGCAAAAAAATCTCAAATGGAAGGATAAAAGTTAAGAAGGTTCTGAAGTCCCTCCTCCCGAAGAGAGCTAGCGAGTACCCTAAACACACATTGCTCCTTTCACTCTATCTGCTTCATCAAGTAGCATGTGCAATGAGGCAGGCTCGCAATGTAAATCATTTTCTCCATCTGTTGGTCTCTCTCTCTTTTTTTTTTTTTTTAG